CGAGTAAAAAAAAAAAACAAACAAATTTCAAGTAAGCACACAGTATATCATTTTTGTCAAAATACCTACCTAACAAAAATATGAAAAACTAACCTATTCTATCGTCATTTTCTTACACAGAAACTAAACTATATTAAGACGTACATCTCAGAAATTCTATTAGAAATTTTGTAGGAAATTAAAATGAAATATTAAAAGAACTTTAATTTAACATTAAACAATTTGAATACACACATTGTTTTCAGGTAAGCTAATAAGCAACCTGCAGTCGTGCAACAAAATAGTCCAAACATCTCATATTTAATCACAATCCTTTGAAAAATTGTTTTCTCAAAACACCTACTAATTCATAAAAAATGAACGATTGAATATTATTTTTGTAGCATACATACTGATATGATATGGTATTAAAATATGACGTGATGTTATTGTCCTTGTTATTGAAGTACTGTACTGTAATTATAATTAGTTATGTTATAAAATATAAATAAATTATTACTACTATAGGAACATGGATTGCTATGATCCTTTCTAATTTTAAAAACAACATGTTTATTTATTAACATGGCTACATTAATTTCAGAAAAACTACTTCATTTTGTACACTCTAGGCTATACACATTCTGAGAAAATTAATTAGTACTGTATTATATTTTAATTTAAATGGTTAATTCTATGATATAACATTATTATAAATGTTCAAAAATGATCTTAACTCCATAAATGACGTCTACAAGATATATTTTTTAGTTTTTAATGTTAATAATAATAATTATTATTATTATATTAATACTAAAAAGTAAAAACTAATGTGAGCATATTTCCAAGCACACATAAAATTCTCATAAAAAATTACCTAATAATATAATATTTAAGTAATTTATTTGCTTTCGCAACAACATATAACTTATAGGAAAAATATAATGTTATTATTACAAATTAGTCACAAGGCATCACATTTTAACATAATAAGAAATTCTGTATCGAATCACTAATATTTGAAGTGACAAGTTAATATTCTTATTCAGTTTACTTATGTCTACTATAAAATAATATGTATTCGCTTTTGTGCTCAACTAGAAATTAATTTGATTAGTACAAAGTTTATAATACCTACTGGTAATAACTGGGTAATTACATTTACTAATAAGATTGGTCATTGATCAATGTTTTGATAAATATGATGACTGTTTGAACATTTTTTTTTCGTATTTTGCTTAACTCGAGTATAAATAGGTACTGTTAAGCTTTACAGACTATTAAACAGGTAATATATGGTTTTATAGTTTTTTAAAAGTTTTTGCTATAATATTTGTCACAACAAATTAGCAAAACTACCAGAACTTTTAACTTTAAATAGTTTTAAAACTTTTAATTCTCACTGATCTATACCACTTACTATGTTGCTCAATAACTCACATATTTTAATTTTTTTTTTAAATACACCTAATCGCGTAAGCAACTGTAAATATGTCTCAGACCGAAGAAATGTCGTAAATAAGGTATGTCTATTAATTAATGAATTACATATTTTCCGTATTCCATATGCGTTGTAAAGCTGAATAAAAAGGGGTAAGGATATTATTAAGTATAAAACTAGATAAAATATTTAATTGACATTTTGAAAAATACATCAAAGTCAGCCATTCATACGACAACTATATGATTATAATTTATAGTTTGTATTTTATATTGATATTAATTAGTAGTTAGAGTTACCATAAATACAATACGAATACTGTATACACAAATTCAAATAGATAATAAAAAATATTTTGTATTGAAACATTGTTTTCATCACATTTAAGGTAATTTTGTATTCTTATTCCTTACCATGTAAAAATTTAAAAAAAAATAATTTACCGTTAGTCAATTTGCGGTTAACCACATATCATTGGATCAATAACATCACATAAATAATAGCCAATATCGTACCAATGGATTTCAATAAACTCTAAAAAAAAGTCGTTTCAATGTGCGATGTATTCGATACGACATTAAAAATGATTTAATCATTAATTTATTTATCAAACAGATCGTTAATATTTTAAAATACATTACAACAATTTTACTACTTCGATAGTCCAATATCCATTCGTAGGTACGACCATATTATAATTTTATAATAACGAAAATGTTGAAATATTTTAATTCAAGATTTAAAATGTAGAATTAAAACAAACATAAATCGAATGTAATTATGAGCGAAATTTATTTAAAAAAAAAAAATAATAATCATATACATTTCAAATATTATATAGTTGATCACAAAAAATTATAAACGTATTCAAAATACCTCACTATAATATTATCTAATATTATTAAAATTCAGATTTCTTGTTATAATAAACACTTTTATGAGTGCATAATCATTAGAGCATCAATAAATTTAACTTGTATTAAAGTAAAGAAAAACACGTTTTCCAGTCTGGAGATCAACGACTTTGAATAACGTACGCGTTTGTTGATACCTATACATTCACAATCCATTGAAAAAGTTGAACTCTTTGTACCTATACTAAAATACTCGATAACTTCTTCGAAAATCCCAATTATGAGTTATATATAATATATATGTCCCATAAACTGACTGTATAGAAACTTTTATCGTGGTATAACAATTTGAAATACATTTAAATAATATATAGTATGCCAACACAAACATAATAGTATTCTAAAAAATAATTACAATACGTTATCTATAAATAAATCATTATTTATTCTTATAGTAATTATCACCAAACAAATTAGGCACATTTTTTTATTTTTTAACACTTCTATTAAAAATATTTATAAAAGAAAAAGTCGTGTAAGAACTTAATGTTTTTGAACACAGAATTTATTTTTCAATGGTAACATAATATTTTTAATTCTGAGTTTACCAAGATATTTATAAGTTTTTCAGTTAGTTTTGTACATGGTAGAGTAAAAGTATGATCCAAAAGTTTTGTACAGTAACTTTTTGACTTGAAAATGGCATCCAGTAAATACTTTATACTCAAAAAAAAGGTCAGTATTGGGTGTTCAGTATTCACAGTATTTTTGATACCAAAAACTATAGGAAAACTATAGTGAACTTTATGTATTTGCGTCTTTTTCGTTTTTAATGAAATCCAAGAAAATTTGATTTTGATTTTGGTAAAAGACTTTAGATTTTTGTACCCTTTCTTATACTCAAATAATACATACGGTTATATTTTTTACTCGTTATTTTTACTCGTGATTGTATTTTTTTTTCAAATTTATAATAAATATACATCAGTACTTTACCCGAAGGCAATGCAAACATACAAATTTCAAATAACACAATACTTTTGTATACTGTCCATGTTTTTGTCATCTTTTACATGGACATATTATCAACAATATTATTATCATTGAAAACTTAATTAAATTGTATTGTTTGTTTGTAAATAGTATTATATAATAAACAATAATAGTATAATAATTCTTTAGGATTTTTCCTCCGTAAGAACATTTAACTCAAAAAAAAAACTTATGTGAAATATATTGGAAAATTCAAAACCCAAACCTCGCAGGAATATATTACATCTAATTAATTTGAACAGTTCCTAAACGGCAAAACAAAGATCTACGACCTAGACACATATTATTCTAACACAGCTAACACTTAATTTAAAACGGACAGATTTTACTTTTGGTTGAACATTCAAGAGTAAAAAAAATATAATATGTATACTGTACAGGCGTGCAGGTAATATTCATTAGAACGCGTGCATGGCATAATATACCGCAGCACCGCGTTTAAATAAAACTGTGGTGTTTTTAGAGCGTTTTTTTTTATCGTATAACTCTTTAACAACAAACTTTACAAACACTATAAATTTTAATTTACCATAAAATCTCACGTGACAGCAAATAAGTTTTGTTTACAACTGTCTACTCATTGCGTAACAAAAATATATTTGAGATCGAAAAACGGCTATGGACAATTTAATATCGACACCACTATATCCAATGTAACAAAACAAAACAAACACGAACGCAACGAGTGACGATAAAGGACCGGTGTTGGGTAAGTTATAATTTTAAAGTTGATTAAGTAAAAATTACTAGTTATAAATAAAAAAAACTAATGAGATTTTACTTCTTCGAATTAACATAATATCGTATTCAAAGCTGTTTCGAAGATTCCGCTTCCACTATTCTAGTCTAATATTCTATGTTTGCATTCAATAATTCAATAATATTATGCGTTTTTTTCAAATTTTTGTTTTTCCAGAAGTTTAACTGTTTCAATTAATATATTATTGATTTATTTTCAACTAAATGGGTTTAAGAACCCAATTACACATAGTATGATAGGTTTGACAGTGTTTCAAGTATGATTGATTGCTAGTTATACGTTATTACCTATGTAGGAGAGAAGACGAAATAGAAAATTAACGGCTCTAACTTAAGAATCAAGATCTACAAGAAGATGATTAACTGTCAAATTGGTATTGTAACCATTGGTATTGTATTACTAAATAGATGATCATCATTGTTAACTGCAACTAAGTCGGTTCGTAAAATAATATATCTATTTTAAATGAGGATGAAGTTAGAGGATCATAAATTATTGATTTGTAAAAAGGTTTCAATTATATCAATTTTACAGTTAAATACACATAATAATATCGGTAAGTCGTGCAGTTTGTCACATATATATTTCGATGAGTAGAAGCATAAAATGTAACATTCAATGATGATGATGATATACGTTTCGGGACTAAAATGGACAAACTACTAAGGAGCTAATAAGGATATAATCGATATTGTTATGAAAAACGTAAAAAGCATTTTATAAAGAGTATATTTCAAATTGTCTTCAATTATCTACTATTTTAGCATTATATAAATTATAGAAACTTCAAAGTTAAGCGCAATAGGTATAATCTCCACCTGCACGACTCCGGAAGTAGATCATCTGTCTCGAATCAAGTATACCACAAGAACAAGAACAACAATATTAATTCTATAAAATAACGCCACCGTACCTTATAGATGCCGTCTACGAGCTTGGTGATCTCTTCGGTCTCCATGGTCAGCGCCGTTAGGATATCCAGTTGGACGTACACACACAAGCACGCACAGACGCGAGAAAATCAAATGGTACCGAGTTGGGAAAGCTCCCGCGGTAGCGATAAATTCGGAGCGAGGGCTTAAGGCCACTCAGTTCGAAGCGCGAAGAACACTGCACCTGTCGAGAACGGCCGCAGAAACGCGCATCGGAAGAACCGAAAAGCCGGGAACAGCCTGTGAATCGCGGACTCGCCGGGGCGCACACACGGCAAACCGTCCAACAACAAAACAATATTATGCGACACGAGTGCGACGGGTGTTGTGACGACGTGTATCGGTATCGCGTGAAGACGATATTATCACAATATTATAATATGTGCCAGCGCGACGGTGAACGGCGTGCGCGAACGGTCACGTTGCCACTGACTACAATATTTATACTACGGCAACGACTCGACACCGTAACGGCCGTTCTCCGCCGGATCGGTTACACGCGCGCGCCGGGTCTGCCCGCGAGAACGCGATCGTCGGCCGTCCGCGGTTGGGTAGGGACGCCGCGCCGCGCCGATGTGCCGGTACCGCCGCCGTTTTCCAGCACGCGCGACCGCCTACGCGCGAGTAGAAAAACGACCGTGTACAATATTGTACGACCACCGCGGCTGTACTCGTATATACCTATAACGTACTGCGAGATATTATGCACACGAGCACGTCATGACGTCGTCTTCGTCGTCGTCGTCGTCGTTGTTGTTGTTGTTGTTATTGTTATTGTTATAATATATACGAGACCCGCCGACGACGATGCTGCCTCGACGGAGTGCCCGTATAATATTATTATAATGTATATCCCATGAAGACGGTGCAGGTACCTATGTTTTTTGTACAGGGTGATTCGTCGAACAAACTTACCCCCATTTTCCGACTTTATGAAGACTTGATTCGAATTGTGATTTTCCAAATTTTTAAATGTTACACCAAATTATCGTCGCTCTTGACGCCGTTTTTGGCACCACTTGAGGAGTGTGTCGTGAGGGGATTTTTCGCATATTTTCCCACGGAAATCACACTTCTTTTTACTAAGAATTATATTCCTTAAAAATGATTTAACAAAAATATAAAAGAGATGTACTATTCTCTATTGGATGTACTATTTATTATACTTGGGCTATTTTTACAAATCATAAATGATAATTTTTTTGGTTACTAAATTCTTAAAACACCATAACCCGCACATCTCCCAAGCCCGTTACATAATCATGGACCTTTTATCCTTAGACACAATAAGTTAAATAATTTAACTATTCGTCCAATTTCAGATTTTCATACCTACGTAAAAATATTCAGAAAAAATGATCTGCTAAATTATTCACAGTAGAAAAAGAAGAGAGTTCTTGAATGAAAAATAGAATTTATATCTCTACAAGACACTTCTCAAGTAGTACAAAAAAATATCAAAATGTTTAAATATTGTCTTTAACATAGCACCTACCTATATATTTAAGAAACTCCCAAAATCAGTTTTTGAATAACTGTATTATTGAAAAAGCTAAAACGTTGTGAGAATGTTTGGCGAAGCACCCTGTATACATGTATCAAGTCTATAAATTCGGTGTCCTTCGAGCGTCATCGACCACGACAGCATCAGCATACGTACCTCGTGTATTTGTGTTGTACATAACGTCTTGATATTACAATATAATAATATGAAGTATCATTATTTTTGTTATTGTTGTTGTTCAGTGGTAGCCGCCGTGATTATGTGCCGGCAGGCGATGGACAATCAATATATCAGCATATTATTGATATTTTGACTGTTGGAGACCGTGCGGGACCAATCGCTATCGTAGATCATTTTTGTCGTCAGCCGTAGGCGCCAAAAGGAGGCATCGACGAATGATCAAAAATAATTAAACAACACCCTAAAATGCAATTAGCTTATCAGCCCCACCCCACGAAAACAAAATTTCTAAATTTCCAGTCTCAAAGTTACCTCCAATAATGAAATGCCATTTTCCTTCACTGACCATTTTTTTTTTCTAAAAACAAATTAAAAATATAATAATAAATATATTTTTTAGTCATATTATATAAACAAAAAAAAATAAAAAATGTCCTTTGAATTATGAACGATTGTATTTTTTTTATAGTATTATAACTTACAAATAAAATAAATAGCTAAAAATTACTAAAAATGCTAAAATATCGGCAGAATAGTTTAATAACTGGAGGAAATGGAAACTAAACTATTTTTCTGTAGAGGAAAATGTACAGTAAAGGAAAAACGTATATCATTTTTGGAGGCTAATAGACCTAGCTCTTAAATGTTGTTAATAACAATAGCTGGTATGAGCAGAACTAAATAATGATGTTTTTTTACTTGTAACCAAGCAACTAACTAACTAATACAACAAAATAGTTTAATTAATAGATGAGACTGATGATATTGCGTATTCAGTTATGATTTTTTTCCCATCAATATTTAGATCTATTTTCAGACATAAATTCCAAACACTTAAAAAAACTACAATTATTATAATGTCACAAAATTCAAAATAAAAGAAATATATATCGTTTTTTTAAGACAGAGAAGGGCCGGGGATGTAAGCAATAGTTATAATATATTATTTAAGACAGAAAATCGTCAAAAATTGATTTCAAACACATAACAAAAATAAAACATAAAATGGAGCGTCCACAATTTTTAATGTTTTCTATATTTTATAGAGAGGTCAGACAAGAATTGTTTTTGATTAAAAACAACTTTAGTTGATGGTCTACCGCATGGAGAAATCATCCCTTACACATCGCTCCCTCTTGATCCCGCAAACATGACAGAAACGAGTTAAAACAATATAACAATTTTAAGTGGTTTTTTTTACTTTAAAGCACAACATGCACGCGTATACAAACAACAACAATGGGTACGAGACCGGAACGAATGAAATTATTTTAAAGAACATATCCATTTAGAGTAATAAACTAATAAGTTTCCCTGTTTTTTTTTTTAAATATATATACATACGCCATTATATTATTATCATGATGTATTACGAGAGTCTAATATGATTATAAGCATATAGGTTTGTTTTTAGACACCGACGACGATCGCATCTTATACGAATGAATAAAACGCGGTTTGGTATATAATAATACTGCAAGTGCTATTATATGAGTTCCAACATAAAAACTGTAAGCATAAATCGACAAAAACAGGATGTATTCTTACTCTCGCTGCAATCTACTAATGGTATCGAGAACACAACACATCAGATGTATAATGTATATACACCGTAGGTAGGTTTATAATACACCCCACCGAACTATAATATTATTATGATTTGCAAGATGATTTTCTAAATGTTTAATTTTTTTTTTTTTTAACCAACATTTGCAACAATTTCAACATTTATTGTTATTATTTATTCATCGTAAAAATATAAAAGAAAAACCCATACATAATAATATTATATAGTATATACATATTGCACGTCTACCCAATATAAAACATATTATATAGGTACAGTATAATATAATATTTACAGAAAGAGATAATTAAAATATACCATAATTATTATATTAAATAAAATTGTTAACCAAAGCTTTATTTTTTAATATTCATATAATGAGTTGTGTTTTATTGTTTTCTCATTTTTATTGCGACGTTTTCAATTTGAGTTATCTCAAAAATATCATGTTTCAAACGTATTATATTAAAAATAATATTCCTACTATGGAAAAAATACTTATAACACTTTAATTGTGTTGAAATGCTTTAATATTTCCGTTTTACTCCACTGATGTCTCTCTTTATTCTTTGATAGTTAAATTATTTTGTAATGAGAACTCAACTAACCTGATGTGAATAAAAATATATTATACATCACTTTAATTAATTATCAATCTTCGGGCTATTGTTATTCAGACCAGATTACCTGTATATTACATGTATGATAGTTTAATTTTAATTTTTTATTTGTAGAATACAAATTTACAGCTAACAGAAGTAAAATTCATTTATTTTTATTTTTTTGAAATTTAATTTAATTTGTAATCTTTAAAATACCGTGACCTGGTACCTACTAGTATATATTCCTTTATAGTTTTCTCAGCTTCTTCTCAGTTCTACATACTATATGAGTACCTATCTAACGAATAAAAATTTGATTTTGATTTAATGTTAATCTAAAAGTACCTACTTAAAATTGTACTGCACTTGCAGTAATACAACTATACTACTATAGTATTATAATGTCACTGCAGATGTCAGTTTCTGTCAGCTTAAGGTTTTTGTAAATAGTATAGTACTATAGAACATATACAAAAGATTATTGGAAATATTTATAAAAAAAACTTCTAATAATACCTATTCGGTACTCTAAACAAACAATGAATTTGTAACATACTTTAATATTAAACTTAATTTGAAAAATTAAAAAAAAAACCAATTATACAAAATATATACTTATATAATATGACGTAGCAATGATTATATTATTTATACTGTTTAAAAGGTATAGAAAGTCATAGTTGGGGATTTCTTTCGGCCATGTAATGTGTATGAAATATGATTATATTTATTAGTATTTTTTAGCATCTTGTATAGATATTATACGTACCTATGCATAAAAAAACATTATTCGTTTGAATGCCACCAACATAGCTATGCGACTCGAAATGTAGAAAAACAGCGATATTTGTAGTATGACTTTTTGAATTCGTGGAATACGAAATAATGCAATTTTTCTCGTATGTTAATAAAAATACGACTATAGGACCCCACTATAATCAGTGCCGTGTTAAATAATGTGCCATATTGAACCACCCAGGGGAAAATTGTTATAGTGATCGCCTTTTTTTTCTTACATAATATTACAAACAATTCAGCAAAGATGACACTCTTACAAATTGATTTATTTATACAGCCGTTGTATGATGTCAAAAACTTTTTTAGTAATCCTATTTTTTTAATCATTTCTCAAGACATATATTTCCATAGGTGCTATGCAAAAAAAACGGTGAGTGAATAACCATATTCAGTCTACATACTTACCCATAAAAGGAACTAACAAATAAAAATTTACAGTCGCCTAATATTTGTCTTACATTCTTACCTAATAACCCTTAGAACGTTAGAACAGTGTTTCGCAACCTTTTTACTTTGGCTTCTCCCCAAGTAAATATTCAATTTTTTTGTGACCCATAAATACATGTTTTAAATACACATGTAGATGAGCATTAAAAATAAATACTAGTAACACAATTCTAATAAAACATGAGATAAGTGCAGATTTTGCATTTTTTAACTATTCATTTATTTGTTTACCATACAAATAATATCTGAAAAAATCTTTCAATATTAAACGTTGTTGTTAATGATCTGAAATGATTCCATCTATCACTGGAAGTTGGTTTCCAAAAAATTGTTAAGCTTATTCTTATAGTTAAAGAATTAGACTTGATATTGGATTATCATGATAAATTGATTTTAAATTATTA